CAAGCGCTTTGCTTATCCCACACTTGCATCCATGGCACTTGCAAGCGGGGATTTTTTCATGATCGCCGAGTTCGTCCCATATGGTTTTTAATTTTCTTAAGTACGTAACAATGGACTGACCGTTTTGCTTGCAATTTGCAAGTTCCTTCTTCAGTTGATGAATTCGAGGACCGTTTGCAACAGAGAAACGATCTTGGATATCCTTCCATAGTTTTGCTGCTTCTTCTACCTGTGTGATGGAGTTTCTCAGGCTGCCATCAATTGTGTTGTAAATCCATGAGACCAACATGGCATTCACAATCCACCATTCTTCATAGTTTTCATCTCCCTCTTCTGGACAAGGGATGGATCCGTCGATGAATCCAATTTTCCGTTTTGCACGGAATGCAATTCTCATTGCACGAGCCCATTCTTCATAATTATCACCGTTTAGTTTGACTTGGGTGATAATTAATCAAGGTGTGTCTGCGTTCTTGAGTTCGTAAGAACTTCCCTTCGTAGGGATCTTCTCTTCCTCTTCGAAGAGCTTGCCGACGAGATTTTCTTCTGATTCTGCCATGTCGGCGGTCGAGAAGGAAATTCCGGCGGTGATGGACCGTCGTTTGTCTAGATTAGGGTTTTCCTAGGAATCTTGCTCTGATACCATGTAGAAAATAATAAGAGGGAAAATATTCTGTATATTCAATTGTTCTGTTTGGTTACAAGGGGTTTCTCCTTTATTTATAGGAGAGGATGATTCCAAAATAGACAAGGAATACAAATCCTACAAGGAAACAAATCATAATCAAACTAGGAAACAAATAAATCAAGATCAATCCTAATTAGAATGGGATTCGGTCATCAAAGGATTTGGACTTCTCAAGTTTGGATTTCTCGTAATTCGGACCTCTCGGAATTCGGATCTCTCGGAATCCGGATTCCTCGGAAGTCGGACTTCTCTGGATCCGGAGAAGTCCGGATCCGGACTTCTCAGTTCCAATAATTTTAGATTGTAGAGTGTACGTGGCAGGTTTTGAGACGAGACATCATAGGTAGTTGCTGAATATGCAAATGATCGACAAGTGGTCGCCATGCATGCCCCCGCAGGTATGATCCTTCATACTACCCCCGTCTCACTCTCTTTGTCCACTTTTGACTTTTGGAACTGTTCATTTAAGCACTTTGACTCATCAAATTCTCTCAATGTGTAAGCCTAAATATAGTCATGTGTGATCTTGTTTGATTTGTCTTAACATATAGATTATTAATATATAATTTCTATAATTTTTTAATATACAAATTACAAGATAAAATGAATTAAAGAAGTGCATTGGATGGTGTGCCAAAAGGTAAGTGGACAAAGAGAGTGGGACGGAGGGAGTATATAGTTTCTTATAAACACATGTACAGGCCGCACCGCCCGCACGGTGATGGGTAGTGACAGGCACACGATGGAGGGTTTACGGGGAAGAATAGGGGTTGCCGGTGGGAACAGGTGGGGATTTATAGAAGAGTTAGAAGTTGTTGCAATTATCAATTTTATAAGGGTATGTTTGGTTGGAAGTAGGTTAAGTTTTTACTAGGTATGTAATGATAGGTAATTGAAGGTAGGTAAAGTAAGGTAATAAATTGAAAAATTATGTTTGAATATTTATGAGATAATGTGAGGTAGGTAAAATAATAAATTTACTTATATGCCCTTGTTATTTTACTCAAAAAAAAATCACAAAAAATAAAACAAAAAAGGGGAAACAGCAAATTCCTTCGTTTAGCCCAAATCGAAGCAAATTCCTTTGTTTAAAAGGGAAAAACAGCAAATTCCTTCGTTTATCCATCAAAATAGCCCAAATCGAAGTGTATCCAATCGCGGGGGAACAGTGCCACACTAGCGTTGACCTTTGTTTCTTCCAAATTCCTTCTCCAAAAACAGCGAATAAGCTCCTGAATTGGATGCACCAGCTGTAGGCGCACCCCAGGTTCCAAAAATGATGCAAAGCAAGCTCAAATTCATGGAGCAATCGGCGATACCCTCTTCGCGGCACTGTTCATCGCGCGGTTACAGAGTATTCCGAAAAGAAGAAGAGGAGGGCAGCAGCGGAAAGAAGAAATACCTACTGAGGGTGTTCGCCAAAACGGCGGTCACGAGAAAAGCACTGTTAAGAGGTAGGATTACCTCCCTCTACCTCCGGTGGCCTTACTCGTTTTTTCTTCCCAAACGAGGTAAAGTGGAAACATAACCTCGCCCTACCTCCAACCAAACACTGCGTAAATGAAACATCATACTCCGTATATATTTAAAGTTTTAAACGGGATAGTGTTCTTGATGGACTGGCAGCCCAACCAGGTGGCCCAAATCGAGGATCGATCCCTTATAATCCACAAAGTCCTGCTATGCCTGCAAAAGAGCTGGGCCTCGAAACGAAGGATTGGGCGAGAGTCCCCTCGCCCCACGGAATCATTGATTTGTGATGGATGCGCAACTAAAGGAAGGAGCCGCAACTAAGGCACGAGAAAGCAGGAGATTTTTACGGATCGGAAGAGGATCGTGCGCGATCCTTCTTCCTTACTTGCTAATTTCCAAAGATGTGTCACGTGAACCCTATAAATAGGGGAGGGAGGCCATTAGCTCCCTCGAGTAAAACATAGTGCACTGCACTGCACTCCACTTATGAGTTTGGAAATATATTTAATTATAAAGAAGCATTTCAAGAACATATTGGAAGTCTGGATGATAAAAAATACCAAAATAACCTCTATTTGACTAGCATTTAATAGAATTTTTTTTGCAGAGGACTATTTAGGGAGTAAATCTCAATTACAAAAGATCATGTTAGTAATTATTGCTTATTGAGGATTAATTTGAGATAACACCTTATTAGAAAAAACCGTTTTGGAAATTCACTTGTGAATAAATTTTGATTTATATCAAAAGCTTCAAATATAATGTTTGAGTTTAGAGTTGTAGATTTTTTTTATATGCAACTTATTCTTGATAAGATAAAAATGTGTTAAAGTAAAACTTTATCAATATTTTTAAACTTGACGAAAACAAACGAAACTATAAACTATTTTAAACGTATCAGATTACTCATGAAATATTTGTACGTTAATAATATTTCTTTAAACACAAATAGCGAATATAAAAAAATAAAAATGAAGTTGAATCATGACTGGAACGTCAAAAAACAAATCGAAATAGTTCGAGAAAAAACCCGATTTTTCAGATCTAAAATCAGATCTAACCAGAAAAAACGGGTCCAACTTTAGATGGGTGTCCACTCTTGCCCCTAGCGCGGCTCTTGGAAAAATGACAACTCATTGGATAGTTGGATTAGACCGCATCTTAAAACATGCCGCGGCCCAAGCTGCTCAATTCTCAACTTCTACTATGAGGCCGCAACTAGGGTTTTCGAACCAATCTCCTCTCCTACTATATAACCACGCTTAATCCTTCTCTATTCATCATCCTTCGTTTTGCCCTCCCATCTTCACAGTTCAATTCCATCGTTCTGGTTGTTTTAATCAGGATAAATTTCCCTTAGTTTAATTTCTATAGAGAAGCCTAACATTGCAATTCCTTTGATCGGAATCCAAACCCCAAGCGATGGATCGAGGGATCTATCCTTAGGCGATACCAATCCCATTAGCATATTTGTATTTTATTTTCCTGTACATATGCGTCTCCCTTCTTATTCTGGATCTCTCCTCTTTCGGAGATTTTCGGCGACAAGGAAGATACATTTCATTGTTTTTTGTTAATTTGTACATTTTTAAAAATTTTGTATGATTCCCTTTTGGAGATTTTAATTTTGATTTGTGGAGGATGATGAGAAAATCAGACGGATTCCCTGTGAGGTTAAACAGTGATCACTCAATCAGCTACTTCTGACTCCTTTTACTTGTGTATATTATTTACGGAGTATTATATTTTATATTGATTTGGGAGAATTTGAATGGTATAGTTGGAGGCCTGTGATGTTATAAGTATTTGCTACTCTTGATGGGAATTCCCATCTGATGATATCTTACCACCAAGATCTCTGAGGCCTTCAGTATTGTGATTATCTTTACGTGTTTCTTGAGCTTTGGTCATTGGATATTTATATACTTTCTTTTGAATCTTTTACAATTTGATGAATTCTGAGGAAAGTGAATTGGAGATTGGAATTTGAATTCTAAATTACGATACCTCCATTAATTATATGAATGAAATACAGTAATTAAATGTTATTTACTCTAATGAGAAGTGTTGATATTATAATTAAGAGTGGGAGAGGATTCAAGGAAATTGGCCCGGGGCTGGATCATATGAATCTTGCAGAGCTCTCGTCAGCACTCACAGAAGACCATGGTTTTTGTAGGACAACCTTGCGGCTGGATGATTGGTCAATTGTTTCTGCATACGTTGTCGTTACCAGATTGCCATTGCATTACTGTTTCCTCGTGTTTGCCTTCGCTGGTGGTGTTGAACCTGCTGCTGAACCTGTTGCTAAACTTTGTTATGTTGAACCGCTGCTGAACTTAGGTAGTGCTGAATTTGGTTTGAATGTAATGTGATTAATTTATCTTTAATAAGTAAATATATCAAATTACGGAGTACTATTTATTGATTTTAATTTGTTATATTGTTTTTGAATATTTTCTGCTAAATATATTTATCAGTTCTACTACTACACCTCTCCATCAAAGGCATGGAGGAAGAATTGACCTACTCAGCTTTTAGTAAGTAGGTTTTGTGTTTGTCTATATTTGTGCTGAAGGTGGTTTGAACTGATGAGTGTATTTAGTGGGAGATATTCAAAAATTATTCTGTCTCTAAATAGATTACAATTTTATTCTCTCTCTTCTTGATAATTTTTATTTGTTTACGCGATTTCATTAAGTATTTGATAAAATAAAATGTTCTCGATAACAAATTTGGTTTGCTCCCAGTTTATTGGTCTTATTGGGCAGATCCTAATCTTATTTGGGCCCGTCTCCGGTCCAAGAAGAGTGCCTTATTCAGTTCTAGTTTGAGCTGGTCTGGTTTAGGTTTGGACCAATGCACACCTCTATATATTGAAATATATACAGATGGGATTATCAACAGATTAAATGTATTGGGATTGTGAAATTCGTATTTGTTTACCAATTGGATGTTTTTAATTGGATATAGATAATAACCATTTTCAATGGATGGAGATATTTTTTCGTATAAGCGGATATTGATGCGGATGGTAATTGAATTTTTAGTTATTCATTTATAGTCTTAGGGAACAACTATTAACAAATTCATTTTTTCTAAGAAAGAACAGAGTTACTAGCAAAAAACTACAGTATGAATAAAATTTTGGAAATGTACTAAAATAGGAATTCTATATTTTTATTTTTATGGTAGGAGTTAAAATGCATTTCTAGTGCAATCATGACCATATACATAGCAAAACATATTGTGAAATATCCATATAAAATGTCAAATTACTACAGTGCGAGTTTTTATTTTGAGAACAAAATATTGAGATCTTATTTTATTTTAGAGTAAATTGCATAAAAAGTTCTCTAGTTATAGGCTGAGTTTGAAACTTTGAATCCAAAATCGAAATCATCACTTTTCTCTTTATTGTTTGTCTAACTGGTGGAATCAAAATTCGAAACCAATAACCTTCATGGATGAGTTTTAATGTTTATTTTTTCTTTGCAATTTTTTGAGACTAACCGATAAAACTCATCCATAAAGATTATTGGTTTTGATTTTAGGTTCCACCAGGAAGACTAATAATTAAGAGAGGAATGATCATTTCGGCTTTGGGTTTAGAGCTTCAAACTCAGCGACGAGTTTGGGAAAGAGTACGAGAGGAGGGAGGAAGCTTAATTGAAGAGAGAGAGAGAGAGAAGTATGATTTACAATTTTATCCATGTTCTTAACAAAAAACGTTAACAAGGGACCATCGTGAAAAATGATATAATAATTGGGGACTAAATTAGTACTACGTAATATTTATATGTAGGGACTAAATATGTAAAATGACCTATAACTGGGACCTTTTATGAAATTTACTCTTGATTTTATCTATGTTTTACATCTCTTTAGAATGATTTCTTATTAATCATCTCTCGTTTACAGAGAGTGTTAATCATAGTAAAAAAATACTTTCTACGTCCCTTTTTATTTGATTGGTTTTGGTTTACGATTTTTCATTAAAGTTATTTTTTCAATAAAATAAGATAATTGAAGTGAAATTAAAAAAATATTACTCGTATATTTTTAAAAATTACATTAGAAATTATACTCCCTCCGTCCCATTTTAAATTGCCTGTTTGCCTTTTTTTTCTCCGTCCCAAAATAAGTTGTCTATTAGTTGTTTTCGTAAACTTTTAAAAATAAAATACCTAAACTACCCCTAAAATAAGTCACACTTCTTCACCTTATCTTCTTATTCATCATCACCCCTCCTAAAAAGTAATGTCAATTTCAGAAAATCAACTCTATTTTTTATTTTCCTTAAATATGTCTAAAAATCAAAACAAGCGATTTAAATTGGGACGAAAGGAGTACAAAACAAGTGATGACATGAGCAACGAAAAATAGGTAAAAAAAGGGAGTAGTTTGAGTTTATAAATAGTACGGAGTATTGAAAAATTTAATAAGGAGTACATTTTGTGGTAGCAGAGTATCCGTCGGTGGGTCAACCTCTCTCCTAGAATGAAAGCCATAATTTTTTGTTCACTAATCATAACCATGCAATGAAGGCCATACTGAGAAGCAAACCACATGATAAATCACGCAGAAAACTGTGTTCTTTTGCAAACTCTGTTCTTGAATCAACTATACGAGCTGAAGAAACAAAAGGCCCAGTTTGGGTGAGGACGAAAGAATCCAAATTAGCAACTTTACACTGCCTCGTTCAACAATGTGCGAGAGAGAGGGATACCAGAGGAGGGAGATCTTGCCACGCCATGAGCGTCAAGCTCGGCTTCGAAGCTGACATTCTTACTTCAAACATGTTCATCAATTTTTACAGCAGGTGCGGTCTCACTGAGAGCTCCCGCAAGGTGTTTGATGAAATGCCTCAGAGAAGCCTCGTTTCTTGGAACACCCTCATTGGTTCATATACCCGGAGCCAGAACGAGGAAGGGGCTCTTAAGCTGTATGTGGAGATGCAGAGGGAGGGGATACAGTTCAGTGAATTTACAGTCTCTGGTGTCCTTTGCGCTTGTGCCGCTAAATTTGCTGTGTTCGAGTGTAAGCAGTTGCATGCCTTTGTGGTCAAGGTGTCCATGGAGTTGAATGTGTATGTGGGCACTGCATTGATTGATGTCTATGCAAAGAGTGGCATGACCGAAGACGCTTCTCGCATTTTCAATAGCATGACCGAAAGAAATGAAGTCACTTGGACAACAATGATGACAGGGTATGTACAAAATGCGCTGTATGAGGAGGCATTGTTGTTGTTCCACAGAGCCCAACAATCTGGACTGGAACATGACAAGTTCATTGTTTCTTCAGTTCTCTCGGCTTGCTCAACACTGTCTGCTTTCATAGAAGGGACCCAAGTTCATGCCATAGTTTGGAAATTGGGGTTTGGTGCCAATGCCTTTGTGGCTTCTTCACTTATAGACTTGTATGCCAAGTGTGGGAACCTTCAAGATGCTTATATAGTATTTTCAAATGCTGATGAGAAGAACATTGTGATTTGGAACACAATGATCACGGGCCTTGCGAAACACGCGAGGCCCTTGGAGGCCATGATATTGTTTGAGAAAATGCAACAATTTGGTATTCGCCCAAGTGATGCCACATACGCGTCTGTGCTATCCGCGTGTGGCCACATGGGCTTGGTCGAAGAGGGCAAGAAATATTTCAAAATGATGTCGAAAGAACATAACTTGTCCCCAAATATCCACCATTATTCTTGCATGGTCGACGTGCTTGGCAGGGCAGGACTGATTGAGGAAGCTAAGGATTTGATAGAGACAATGCCATTTGAAGCCAATGCTTCTGTGTTAGGGTCACTTTTGGCATCTTGCAAGGTCCATGGGAATGTAGAGGTGGCAGAGGCTGCTGCTAAGCAACTGTTTGAGATCGAACCTAATAATGCCGGAAACTATGTTTTGCTCTCAGACATTTATGCAGCCAAGAAGAGATGGGGTGATGTTGCATCAACAAGAAAGCTTCTGAAAGACAGTGAGGTAAAGAAGGTAAGAGGGAAGAGTTGGATTGAAATCAAAGGCAAAGTTCATGCTTTCATGGCAGGGGAAAGAGGGCATCCTAGGATTGAGGAGATTTATTCCAAGCTGGAGAAACTGGCAGAGGAGGTGGAGAAGGCAGGGTACGAGGGGGAGACAGAACACGACTTTCACGATGTGGGAGAGACCAGAAAGAAACAACTGCTGAAACACCACAGCGAGAAACTTGCTCTTACATTTGGTTTAATGTCTCTGCCAAGTGGTTTGGCTATAAGAATAATGAAGAACCTCAGAATATGTGGGGACTGCCATTCTTTTATGAAGTTTGCTTCTAAAGTAACTGGGAGGGTGATCGTCGTTAGAGACTATAATCGGTTTCACCATTTCAAGGACGGATCTTGTTCCTGTGGAGAATTCTGGTGATCTAATGTTCAATCCATCTGCTACCAAAAAAGAAAAAGAAAAAGAAAGAGGAATCATTTCTATTCAACCACTCTTCAAGTATAAACCAGTTTAGCTCCCCTCTAGCTCCAGTTGATATATGATCATCACTAGTATTACTTCCCAAGGCTATGTAATAGGGACACTATGCTAATGTAGATTATTTTTAAAATGTGAGTTTCTTTAAAGATATGAAGGGAAATTGAATTTCTTTATAAATAAGAGTGGAAAAATATTTATGGGTGGAAAATAAAGAGGCATGCATAGGTATTGTGTTTGGAAGAAGGTGAAAAATAAGGACGAAAAATATGAGTATTTTCTTTTCAAAATGGGAGGAAAATGTGAATAAGAACTAATTAGATATATTAGGAGGTAAAATAAAGTTTATTTTCATTTTATTTTCTTCCATCTTCACCCTTTATGGTTCTTGGCCATGGCTGAGGCGTGTGAATGAAGTAAGGGGTCGGTTGGGAACGGAGTAAGAAATCATTTTCCAAATTTTGGGAGTTAGTCTTCTAGAAAATTTTATCGGGAAGACAATTTCCATCTCTTCCGTCTTCCATTCTTCGCCACCATCCAATTTGCAGTCGTCCCCTTCGCAATCTGCAGCCTTCTTCCATTCTTGAGAAAGAGAGTGCAGAAGTCAATTGGGCTTTTGCTTGAATTGCTGATTCTTACAGGTGGCTATGGAGTTACAGTACTTTTTTATACGGAGTACTCTCCCTCCTTCCCTCAATAATATTCCACTCTACTGTTAAATCCCAAAATCAAATTTCTACTGCTGAATGGATATTTTTTCCGGTTCCTTCAACGCCCACTACTCACTACCTCCTCCGTTCTCAGCCTCCATCCTCGCCGGAAAGAGCCAGCCAACAACCGCATCTGCCCCCATTCGTTCATTGAAACTCCATAGGGACTCCACAGACAGTTCCCGGCTCATCACTTCTTCGTTCTCATCTACAGTCCTCCGCCGCCCGACCCTTCACAATCATTCCCGGGCAATATCCAATTCCGCGGACTCCAAATTCCCCAAGAATCCCCTCAAGAATCTCATCAATTCCATCCCTCCCC